CGCCGGGACCGGCCGCGCTCAGCATCGCGACGGCGCTGCCGTGGGCGGGGAGCGGGGCCGGGGGAGGCGTCCCGAGCGGCCCCGCAAGGCCCCGAGCAGCAGGGGAGCAAAGCAGATCCTCTGCTTCTAGTATACGTGGATCTATTTCAATACCGCCACGCTTAAGCTGCCTGGCCTGCCGCTGCTGTAGAATCACGGGACGGTTTGGGTTGGAAGGGACCTCTCAAGGTCATCTAGTCCAACCCCCCTGCCGGGGGCAGGGACATCTTCAACTAGATCAGGTCGCTCAGAGCCCCGTCCAACCTGACCTGGAATGTTTCCAGGGATGGGGCATCCACCACCTCTCTGGGCAACCTGGGCCAGGGCTTCACCACCCCCAGCGTAAAACATTTCTTCCTTAGATCTAGTCTAAGTCTACCCCCCTTTAGTTTAAAACCATTCCCCCTTGTCCTGTCGCAACAGGCCCTGCTAAAAAGTCTGTCCCCAAACAACGTGTTTTGCACGTTGCGAACAACAAGACTTGAGCAGAGCTCCGGGACCAGCTCCCAGCTGGAGCAGGAGGGCCGGCAGGGCTGGATGAGGCCCTCCGGTGAAGCACCGGAGAAGGACACCGAGGGCACACACACACGTGCACAAGGCTACCAACAAAGCTGCCCGCAACTGATGCGAAGCAGCAAACGTGCCGTTGGCGTCTTTGAAGAAACAGGTTATTCCACACAAACAGATTTCCAATAAGAAAAAAAATTGCCTTTTAACATGCAAGAAAGGCCAACCATTATAAGAAAGCTGTAGCCACTTGAACTTAGAAAAACAGTATCCACCCAGAATTATGCATGAACAAATAAGATCGCAATTACGCCAGACACAGGCATGAGGTAGCTGCGTTCAAGCAACGTTTCATGAACACATAAATTAAAACTGCTGTGGTGCATTATCTGTGCACTCTCGCTAGGTTTGTTTCATTTGAAGAATGAAACAAATGAAGAATTTCATTCTTCATTTCAATGAAGAAAAATCAAGAAGTGAGAAACTTTCAAAATTCCACCACTATTCAAGGCCAATTAAGTAGGAGTTGCTTTGACATCAGTCCCAATGCAAAAAAAAAAAAAAACACAAAAAAACAGAAACAAAAAAACAGCAGAAGTTTGAAGATTATCAAAAGATAATCAAGAGGCAGGAATACAGTTAATGCCAGTCAACATACCTTTATAAAAAATAAGACCTTATCACGCAAACTAATTTATATACACATTTTTTAGCAAGATTCCATACTCAGGTAATTTAGGTATTTTTCTCTTCTATCCTGCTCAGCTTTCTGATAAAAACTGGCATTCTGACATCAGTAAAACATGTTAAGTACTTTTAAAAAATACTCCAGAAGTAGCTGGAATAGGTGCACAGCCCCCCGCGCACGTTCACAGAGAAGCTCCCCAGAAAGAGGGTGGTAGAACTGGCCCTGCACAGTGCTCGAACAGGCGATTCAGAGCTCAGCCTGGGGTCGTCCCCGATAACGACACCCAGGTAACGGAAAGCAGCACAAGAAAAGTACCTGGGGATAAAGCACAGGACGGCCTGGACTGCTCGGTATCAGACCACTGCAGCAAAATGCTTCTTTATACGGCCAACTTCCATCCAACTTTCTCCAGGCACGGTCCTGTACATGCATTTTTGGTTTTTAATGAAAACCTTCCATACTTTGTTTTGTTTCAGGTACAAAGCATGCTGAGCCTTGAATGTGGCAGTGAGGAAGAGCAGGGGAGCAACAGTGCATCCATAGTGTTCTTTACACAAGATAAATCCCTTCTCCCATTCACCGCTAAAGAAGAAACCTTATTCCATCATTCAACGTTTTCACATTGTGCAATTCTCCAAGGGAACTTTATTGGAGATTCAATATCAAGACAACCACTCTGTCATTAAAGGCTACAGGAAAAAAGAAATCACACATGTATGTTCTAAACCACCTTTGCAACATGCTGGCACCAAGCAGGGGAATGCTCTCCTGAACTTTAAAAGAAATACTTGTTTTGAGAATTACGCATAGAACAAGTCGCTTTATTTTCAGTGCATGCAAAGATGTATGGCATGAAGGAAGACACTTTATGAAGAAACACCCAAGCAGAAAAGACCCTTCAAAGTTTCAACCACGGGAAGAGATATATTTGGTATCGTAGAGTCAAATCTTTAAGAAACCTCGAAGTGAATAGTTCAGATGCACAGAATGCACTTGAGTTCATGCCAAACTAGGCTAGGAATTAAATTCAGTGATAAATACTCATGTTCCCTAACACAAGTGAATTTTATACTATGCAAAGTGCTGATACTTGAGTCAGTACCTAGGTATTTTATTGGCATATCTCAAAAATACTCTTCTAAATCCAGCTACAAACTGGCTGTTAAAGGGAAAAAAAAATCTAGAGCTTTTGAAAAAGTGGCGTTTGCTGCAGGTTAAGTTGTTGACAATGTCGGCCATTGGAAGTCTTCTCTCATTTTATCACTTCTGACATTCCTTGTACATACATTGTATTTTGAATACTATACCTAAAAAAGCACCACACAAGCAGCTACGCAAGTTCCATCAGGGTGTTTCCCCCTGCACAGGATTTACCTAGCCCAGGACATTTGCTCCCAAGTCAAGCCTGTGTAAGACAGTCTCATAAACAATATAAATTTGACTAATTTTTTACAAAGATGAGAATGCTTCATACAGAAGCGTTGTGGGAAAGCAGCCAAGGGTTCTTCACCTACCAATGCCACTACCGAGCCGTTTCATTGCTCCCAGCACTACAAAGCCAACCCAAGGAAAAGGAGGAGAGGAGTCTACGCATTTCTGCTTCTTTATCACCTCTGACCATGCTCTTGATTTCCCTCTCACCACATTTTAAGAGGATGTGTCATGTTAGGTCTCCTATTGCATCTTCAGCAAAGTGAGAAGGTGACAGAAGTAGGAAATGTGGTATTTTGAAGGAATCAGGCAGATTAGAGATGTACCTCCTTGGCCACAAGCACTTTTTCAGGCTTTAGCTTCTAACCATTATTACTTCTTATACTTTCTCCATTAATTTAGAAGCCAAATGATATTTAGTGGTTAGTCTTCTAATACCTCAAACTCTTACTAGAAATAAAAACATGAAGTACTATAAACATGAAAATAAACAACTTCCCTAGTGCTGTATTTGCTCTCTCCAGCAGTCTTTAGATCAAGTCCAGCGGCTCTCTGGGAATATATGCTTATTGATCTCAATACACAAGTAACATAAAGGATGAAGATGAGACAAGCCTACATCAAAGGCTCCCAGCGTACAGTATCTGCCAGCAATTCAAGTGCCCCTTCTCTGCCTTTTCAAGGCACCCACACAGAAACATTTTACGCAGCAATACTCTAATTAAGGCATTGCACTGCTTAGTTCTGTTATGCAGTCCCCAACCTGATACCCTGGCCGATACGCTCAGTCCTGGGGAACCCCACGGCTAAAGAGCCTTTTGGCGTTTGAAGACACTAAGCAAACCTCACAGCCAGCTTGCCAACCCTGAGGGAAGTGAGAGAAGGTTCCAGCTAAGACTATTCTTTAAGCTACCAGTTGAACTAGGACATTGGCTATAAAATACATGCGCACCCGCAGACTTTCAGCAACCTTTCAGTATTTTACTGGAAGTTCAACAGATCAACCTTTGCTAGAAACAAAGCAGCTGAAGGGGAACAAGGGGACGGGGCTGCTGTCAAAGCTGGGTCAGACCTTGCTTATGCATCAAAGCACGTAAATAATTTTGCACACACATGCCACTTACCTCAGTAAGATTTCTGAACAATACAACAGCTTATTTTGCCCTCTGACCCCGAACGAACGTCAGCCTTAGGATATATAAAAAGTAACGAACTGATTTAACCTAACAGCAGTGGACGTTAGTCATCTGTAGCTTGGACTAGCAAATAATTTCAATTATCATAGCCTCTGCATTATCTGAACACAAGCAGCATCACGGTTCCCTTTTAGGACTCCTACTCAGTCACGAGAGAGATCAACTTCTCAGTGTGACCTTCCCCGTTAAGAACAAAACCCAAGAACCCCAGGCCAAGCAGCTGCATTGCAAGCACTCAGCCTGTGAGATCCACGTGCACCCGGGAACACCACGTAAGGGTAATGCCACTTAAAAAGACAGCATTGCATCATAACTTCAGGTTTGTGATTTTTAGCTCCTTGTGCATAATTCTACCCCATCTTCCATTAAGTGAAACATGTGACGGTTACCTCTAAACATTTATTTAGATCTATGTACATAGGATCATTATGGAAGGTATGCATCATGCAACCAAGGAAATCACAGAAGAGTCTCATAAACAATATAAATTTGACTAATCTTTTACAAAGATGAGAATCACTAGGTTATCAAATCTCTCAGGTATAAATATTATGAGGTAAGCAATACTTAAGATGAGGCACTTAAACAATAACCCAAAAGGTAATTAGTGTACAAAATTATAAACAGGAACAGTTATTCATATTGCCCTCAGTTATATTTAAAAATGATTTATATTCTATATACACAGTGTGTTACATGCCTTACACCCCCCTGCTGAAGCAAAACATTGAGGAAGTACGAAAGAAACCAAGTCATCATCGCATGCCATCGACTATAGCACAGGCAGGTGAGTATCCTGGAGTACGCAGCAATACAGTGAAAAAACAGCGCCTCGGAAAGAATGTTTTTCTAGACAATCCCCCGTTTTCTGCTTGGAGAAAATATCTATGCTAACAGAAAGTTAACTTGGTATTAACATACAAATCTGCCAAGCCAGAAGAGAACCACCCTACTGTGTTCAAGGAAGGAATGCCAATTAGGACAGGATTTAAGCCTTAGTGGGATTTATGGTAATTAGAAATGTAACAAATTCAACTTTACAGAGAAATTAATTATGCCAATTAAAACACTTAGCAAGTTTTACTGGGAATTTATACAGTATTATACATATATGGTGCTGATCAATGCCCGATTTATTAAAATTACTTAGGGCACACTTCCAAGAAAATTTACCAAAGTAGTATAGGAATTCCAATTAAGATGTAAAATTAATATTTGCAATAAATATTTCCTTATCAGGATCCAGAGAGAGGAAAACAACACCCAATAAAAGAAAGAAAGCATTTATGTTCAGGTGGGGTGCATAAACATCTAAATCCCCATAACTGCACAGCTTGCTAGAGTTTGCCTGGGAAACGAGGTCAATATTCTCTAATAATATTAAAAAACCCAAACACTTTCAAAAGACTCAAGAATTCTCACTGCCAAACAGCTTGCATCAGCATGCCGTTTGTGACAAATCTGCAGGTTAATGGCATGGTAACTTATAATATGCTTCCTCCTCCGATGCTTTTTGAGGTGGGGAGGGAAATGGAAATTTCCAGAAGAGGTGAAGTTATTCCTATCCGAGAAGTAGCTGTATTTTGTGGGAACAATGACCCCAAGTTCACCTGGTCTTATAACAAAGTAGCTCGGATTTTATTTTAGATGGCCTTCAGAGACCATCTATGTTCTACTTATATTTGACATTTTAAACTGAACAAATGCAAGCTACATTATGTCTTCTGTTTCTAAAGATAAGCCAGCTGAGTTTTGAAGTTTAAATGGAACAAAGTAAGAGCCACAGTTACTAGAGTAACAAAAATTAAACTTGGCAAAAGTAATGAATTTTATTTACAAATACATGTACGAGGATTACAACAGAAACACACTAGGGAAACTCCATCTCAACAAAAGCAATGATTTATTGGTAATGGCATTAAATGAAACAGATTGACAGTCTCTGGTTATGGTCAAGCAATTATCCAGGAGTTGTAGATAAAAGTGAAGATCTCTGATTGTGATAAGGCCTTCCAGTGTCTTTTGCATCCTAGTGGCTCTCTCCTTTTTTGCCAACTACCTGATAAGAGAAAAAACCAGAAACAACGTTTAACCAAAAAAGTCCCACCAAGTATTTCTTAAAGTAAGTCTCAAAACAAACAAGTGCAACTGAATTTTCAACTAAGTTAATGCATTTAAGCATGCATTATTGTCGCACTTGCAGAAGCTGCAAATCCCTCTAAAGGGTTAAGAGGGATGCAAGACACACAAGAAACCTTATCTTTAGTAGTCATACAGACAGCAGAACATCAGTCTTATTTTGAGAAGAGTCACAAGACAGTAACTGCAACAGAACAGACCACACTTAAAAATGTGTGTTATATACCAAGCATGCAACCTTAATACGCTATATAAAATAGTATAGCGGGAAGAGAACCACTGGGTGCTCAAACGTAAGTTTGTTCATTTCCCTTGGCATCCTTGCCATGTACCTCACTGAGAACATTTACCTTACAATGCAGCTCAAACCTATAAAGAAATCCGGAAGTCACCTGATTTTCAGTTATTCCTTGTCAAAACGTTACTCCTTACCAAGTCTCCTTCCAATCTCCAATTCTGCAAATTCCACCTGGAATCAGAGTCAGCTTAGTGCTTCCCTTTTCTGAAAGGGCCACTGCCACCAGCCTTTGGTGAGCCCATTTGCCAGCCAACAGCAAGCGCGACTCCAGCACTCTATATACTGCTACACAGGTTTAAAGTTAGCGTAGTTCACTGCAGAAGGGTATCCAGTCCCCTTCGTTAAGATAACTGAACGCAAAATCCTGAGAGCAGAAAATGATGCCATTTTAGTCACTTTTCTGAAAAGACTCAGACATAATTCTCGTGCTCTTGCAGACCCTTGAAAAAATATCCATTTATAAGCCAAACCAAAATAAAAAGAAAACTAAGTCTTAAACTTTAAGACTTCAAACTGCAGGAGAGATCTTGGGCAAGGAACTGATTCCCAATTCATTTCCATCTAACTAAAGAGCAGCACTTACAACTCTGACAAGGTGTAGTCAGAATTCACATGACCGTAGATTTGAAGATTACACTAATGGAGCATAGAATTTCCCATTACTACTCATAATAATGCTGAAAACGAAGGAGTAAAACCTTTCTTGTATTCTAACCAATTGACTCCTATAGCAAATGTGTTAAGTATTAATGACCTCTGCAGTTAAGTGACAATATACCACGCAAGATTCATACGGTCAATAGTGAAATACAGAACTAGGGGGAAAAACAAAACAAACAAAACCCAAAACACCCACAGCCCTGAACTAGGGGAGTCTCATGGACCCGCTGGAAGTATTCTTCCCGATCCTTCCCTTTTTTTTGTTTCTTGTCAAACTTCAAGAGGGAGAATTTTTCACTAACTCAGCTGACCAAAAGCAGCTGGGTATCACCATCACAAAATAATTGAGGATCTACTGATGAAAAGTACTTTTAAAGACCATTTTCACCTCCAAGGAACCCTTGACCAGGAGCATTTACCAAGCTGTAAATTCAACCTAATGCCTAAGGTCAGGAAAATTCCAATCTGACAATGTGAGGAAAGAAGAAAAAAAAAATCAGAAGCCCAATCACTTGCATTAAGATCCAATTAATCAAGTTAAAAAAAAAAAAAGATAGTTAAACTTGTCAAGAAGCAATATTTATTCTTTGTGTGTTTCCAAAGCACCAAACTGTGTTCACACACAGATTAAGAAAAAAGAAAAAAGAAAAAACACAGTTAAAATATTAAAGATTAGGTGTTAGCAAGTGTGGAACATCAATGAAAAATATTGCTATACCAGTCTGAGGCAGAAATTGACAACTCGCCCATGTGTATTATCTGTGAAAATCAATCACACTGATATGGATATTTTGTCATCACAGGTCAAAGAAACCCATTTTCCGACCATCCCACTCCACCTTCCCAAAAGGAAACGCGCTATTTAAACTTAAACCAAACAATTGTCATCATTCTTTTCTCTGAAGTAGATCCATTTTCCTTCCTTTTGCAGAAAAAACTGCCATCTAGTGCATTCTAAGGTGGTGGTTACAGCCCGTAATTCCCACACAAAAGATGATGGTTTTGGAGCAGGCTTTTCTTCAATCATTTGGCTTTTTCCCCAAGCATCAGTCCAGAGCCTGACAGTGAAGAAACCACAACCAACTCTACGGTCTATTACCAAGAATAGGACTGGAAACACTTTATTACTGAACCTCCTGGAGCAGAGTTGGCTTTGTTTGTGTGTTTTAAACACGCATAAAAAGGTTGAGCAAGGGAAATTAGTAGGATGCTGTTGGAGAACCCTAATCAGGCCACATATGTACAAACACTCACCAACTCCTCACTGCGTCTTCCCTGAGCAGGTGCCCAGTGCCACTAGAGGGACAATAAAGAGTAGTACTTTGCAGCCCATTCTGGCTTGCCTACTACCTACTGAAGGGTCACCACAAAGAACACTAAGCTCCAATAAGATACTAAAAAAGAGTCAAGTCTTGGTAGAGCATTTCACAAGCTGCATCTCAAACAGCTTTACAAAATTCAGTACAGGCTGAAAAATTAGTTACAGAAAATAATTTGTAAGAGTACTGTATGATATGCCTTTGAAATGTCAAGTTCAGGATAACAGTGGGATAGAAATTTGTTAAGACTGAAAGGTAAAGAGAAGTGTTTAAGGTAACATTTGGAGTGGGGAACGGAGGGGAAAGATGAGTTCATGAGTCAGAAGATAGAGAAGGCTTTTCCTGATGGTAGAAGGTGCAGAGAAGGTGGCTCTTGCATCAGTGCTGAGATTGTGGAAAGCGTGAAAGAGATGCTAGATGAGCAGAGGGAGCAAGGAAGGGAGTAGTGCAAGACCACTTCAATCTTATTATTACTTTTTAATTTCTTCTGCCTTTTTAGTTCTTTACAAATGGGAAGTTAAGCTGAAAAAACAAACAAAACATTACAAGAAAAAAAAAAGCAGCAGCATGTAGTGCATATAAGCAGTTATGAATAGAAAGAAAGCCTTCACTCAAGAGGGGACAAAAAAATATCCCACAACCTGTCGATATTCATCTATGCCCCAACCTCAAAACTAAGCAGCAGTATGTTTTATTTATTAACACCAGAAATAAACAAGAACTATGTTGGACATCAATGGTTGCATGCTCTTCCAAAAACGAAAGCATGTTTACAGGTTCACCACACGGTTCACAGGAACCTAGCTAATACTAAGCTATCAATCAATAGCAAAACACCCACAGAACTTGTACCTTTACACTTCTAGCTGTCTGCCCCACAAAGCAGTCCAACTGAGCATCTTTAAGCATCAGAAGCAAATCTCAAATGCAATCTACTACAACTCAAACGCAGTCTACTGTAGTAGTTTGCATGATCTGCCTTAAATCAGACCCTGTGTGGCCAAGAAACAGCAGCATAAACACTTCTAGTGTTAAGGATATTTTTTAAAAACAAACATGCCTTTATAATCAAGCTTTTCCAAAAGCACTTCAGAATATATTAGATATGTATAAGAAGGGAATATTCATCCTAGTCCTCCGCTGTTGAGGGCCTCTTCATTTAAACAGGGCAAAGAATAGGTCTCTCCCCACTACTCTCTGTGCTTAACTCACTACGCTGCAGTCAGTTCTAAGCAGGAATTTTTTCCTTCGTGTCCCCCTTTGCCACCATTCCAAAGACTTCACTCCTCCCCAGAGGATAAAAATCAAGTTGTGCAAGGAGCAGGATACACACAACATACTAAAACAAGTTTTAAAGCAGCTTTTATAACTTTACTCACTCAATCCAGCAATACCAACTGCATGCAAGAAAATGAAAGAAGTTTTTTACAGTGAGACCAATCATTCACTGGAACAGCTTCCGCAGGGACACAGCCGAGTCCCCATCGCTGGAGGTTCTCAAGATGCGATTGGACAGGGTGCTAGGTAACCTCATCTAGGCTGCCTTTCCCATGCAAGGTTGGATCAGGTGATCTTCTGAGGTCCCTTCCACCCTGGGCTGTTCTGTGATTCTATGTATGTCCAAACTAACTTGAGGCCAAAATCACCAGTGAAGGACTGACTTACCTACACCTGCTTAGCACTTCTGTTATTTTTCAGAGTAGATGAATTTCAGCTTTCTATTTGATAGTATAAGGACTGGAAACAATGCCTCATTTATATTAAACACATGAACTGACTCCCTGATCAAGAAGAGGTGATTCTTCTTACAGCCCTGTTGGTGTTAGCAGAGCACCACATGAGCAAACGTGAGTTCTCCTCAACTGTCTGAAGGACATGGGAGCTGCAGTTATGCACCTTAATAATCAACAGCTGAGTGGTAAGCTGCTGTAACTAAAAGTGTGCATTCAGATCCTAAGCTGCTGTAACTAAAAGTGTGCATTCACACACCCCAATTGGGAAGCAAAATACATTAGCCTGAACCTTAGCAGAAGTCATTCAAACCAATGTGTTGTTTTTATTTTTCACTTTGAAACTGAACATGCATACAATCAACTGAGCAGCGATGTGATCAATCATAAAAACATGACTGGAATCACATTCATGTCCACTTCCTAAGTCAAGCCCTTCAAATAAGATATTTAACAGATTCTTACAAACACTTCTCAAACTCAGGGAAAAAAGCATTCCCCCATCTTGTTAATCATATTGCAATACTATTTCTATCACAATTAGAAGAGAAATATGAACAGTAGAGACAGACTGAGATAAGGGAGTGAGACAGATGAAAGCAGTGAGGAGTAGTGTGGGTAACTACTCAAGGAGATGAAAAGAAAAATAAGGTTTCCCAGTTAATCTACAAACCTAAATATAATTAATGCCCAACGCTATATTAAGGTTTCATAACTGACAGGATCACTGGAAGAGAGGAAACAAAAGTTAAAATTCTTAAGAGCACTGCAACTCTGCCAGACTACACATCCCATTTGCTACGATGAAATATTTTAACAGCCTAATATTAAAACTACATGTTCAGGAAGCAAAATAGGAATATTACATATAGCGTTGATAAGTATCTGAATTGAGACAGGATTAGCCACTTCGTAACCCAGTAACGCCTGCTCCTCTATTGAAGGCCGTTCTGACCAGTTCCTTCACATCCTGACGTTAGCAGTACAATGCTAACACCGTGGGACTGTTTGGTTCATACACAGTCTTGTAGGTTTGCGCCCCTTCCCCTTCCATTTAAATGGACGTCACAAGACACAAAGGCACACTCCTTGATGGTGCCAAGACATTCACCTGCAAACTTTAAGGAAACCAAAATTGTTAACTGGCATAGTATTTACCAGGCCATACAGCAGCTTCCAAGCATCCACGCTGCATCTAGAACAGAGATTTGTAAATCCCCTCTAACTACAGTAGAGGGCTGAGATGCCTGGAGACCCATGCTATTTTTAATGCCTTTATAGGGTTGCGTGAGGGCATGTGTGAATTAAAAAACCCACTCCCCACACAAACACTGACTAGAGCTCAGACTGTTAACAGCAGTCAGTTTCACACTAAGGCAGTACTTCAGTACTGTGTCCACCAAACTAACATTTTGTCTGTCCATGCAACTTAAAATACTGTAGGAAACATGTTGTGCAGGCTCAACACTAGTCTCAAACCCATGTTACATTCTACAAAAAAACCTGAATTGCTTTACCAAGTGCACCCCAATCAGGATTATCAATTAAAAAAAATAAATCACTACTTTAACAATCAGAAGGTCAGGTTTAAAGAGTGCACCTGTTGAAAATAAACTCTCAGTACTATGGAAAGCACAACTAATTTACAGAGTTTACAGAGAACCAAAAGTGAGACAGAGATCAAATACTGAGTCAGAGTCCCATCCCCTCACAATGATACTAGAAAGTACTGCAGATTAACAATGTTAAAATAGTAATTGCACAACTCATTGCAGGGGATGCCCTAATACCACAAGTACTGACAAAAAAGCCGTATAAAACAGAAAGTGTAAGCAGACTGTAAATCAATTAACGTATTTCTAGTTTTGGAAGAATTGGAAGTGCTACATTAGGGAGGTCTAGAATTGATAGCCAGTTAATTTTAGTACATTAGAACAACTTTTTCAGTGACTTCTAGTTTCACTGAAAGGCAGCAGAACTTGTTAAACTTCCATTTATTAGCTTATTACCTGCAAAGATATTATGTTTTAAATGTACAAGTTAAGATCAAGTTTTGACATTAAAAATTCCAAGTACGTGACATGTTGGTGAGTGTCAGTGTTTTTAACCTTCTGAAGTTACAGGTTATTTGTATAATAAATTCTGTGGTGCTTTCCATGTTACTGGTCACCTACACAGTAGTTTGTAGGCAGGTGTTACAGCAGTATGTGCCCTTTTATAAAGGCTAGTAAGTTTTAAAGCAGTTTATTGTAAAAGACTTATTACATTTTGAAAAAGTTGTAAGTAGCTTTGAAGTTTCAATCCTTTCAGACCTGTTTCACATGCCCAAAAAAAAAAATCAAGAATTGAGAGTGCCTTATTGTTCAGCACTAGTGTTACAGTATGACTTTAGACATGTTTGCTTCTTCATTTCCTCTTTAAAAAGCAGATATGTTTAATATAACAAGACAACTTGTGACCAAATATTTTTCAGATCTCAAGCTTACTTAATGCTGCCCAGTGAAAAAAATCCTTCAAAGTAGAAGTCAAGTCAATCACAAGGAGTCTGTTTAATTTGTACATGCAATTGCTTCTCTGCTTCCTGAACACCATGAGAAAGCAAGTTTCAAAAATCAAGACATAAATCTCACAGCTGTTAAAAAAACCTCAATGTTGTCTATAATGTATGTAACTTGACAGGCCCTCAAGTTTTCATATATACACATTCTTATCTGTTATTTTTACAAAGTTGATGAACAAAAGCTTGTAAGCAAGACCAAAGATCTGTAAGATAAAGCTACGCATTTTCTTTTGGATGCCAAAACCACCTGAAGTTGTGGAACTGTAGCAACAACTAAGTGTACTTGTTCCATCAACCCATTTTTGAATAGGTTTGAAACGTTCAAAAGTGCGTTTAAGAAAGAGGACTCACTCGCTTGAAGTCATTCATATTTGTTGCTTGGACTGGAGTTCCAATAAACGTGAAGTATGTAATTCTTGTTGTCTCTTCATCACCATGATTGGATTGGACAAACAACTAAAGAAAAAAAACCAAACACGAGTTAAGGTAAACTGCTCATCCCTGAATTAATACATAAAAGCGCTAGGTGCCCAAGATTTTTGAACTAACCAAATTAACACTTTTTCCAATTATAAAAACCTCTGCAACCTTTAGAGAAGCTACTATCCTCTTATTTTAAATAATAATGATTATATAGAATGCTATTATTTTCATGATAGTTTGTTACAACACCCACACAGCTTGGATTTTCCCAGCTTCCACTTTCGACCCGAGACCACATTCAGCAAACAAAAACAGGATCTAAGAAGTCACAATTCACTATTCACTGGAATCTGGCTTGAACTAAAGTAAATATCAATTTAACTGACTTGCTGAAGCCCCTAAGACTATTCATGTGTAGTTTACTACTACAGCTTGCATAATTATGTGTTTTACAGCATGAATACTAGATCTATGAAGTTATTTTAGGGTTTCAAACAAATATCAAGCTTCTTTTGAAATATGAACTAAGGAATTATTGCTGGAACCTTTTAAAGTAGACAAATGAAAGAACAATTTTTTGCATGAAGTAGTATTAGTAAGGAACTTGGGAGCTAGAAGAGCAATGAGGTGTTTATGGATCTTTCCACACTTTATTGTGAGCACGGAGAAAGAAGGAATGAGAAAGAAAGCAAGTAGTGGCATCAGGAGCAGAGGGGAAAAAAAAAAAAAAAAGGAGAGGGAGGACAAAAGCAAGTAGTGGCATCAGGAGCAGAGGGAAAAAAAAAAGGAGAGGGAGGACTACAGGTGGGCAAGGGACAGCATGCATCACGCCCTTTCCACAAGCCATAGCCAGTATCTGTGAAGATGCTCTTTCTGCCTCAGAAATTGCCTGTGCCACAGACCACGAAACACTGGAGGGTACGCATCACTACATGCTTGCCCTATACTTAGAAATTTTTTTGTGACAACACAGGATGCTTGCAAGTGCATGGTAAGCAAGATGGACTGCTGATCTAGACCAGTACAGACATTCAGCCCTCCAAGCAGCTTCACTGTATTTGGAAGACTGTGTACTTTCCTATACAAACAAGATGTATGGAAGGTGAGGGTTGAAATGCTGAATAAAGCACTCTTCAGACAGAAAGAAACAGAAGAGCATGTCAAGGACCGACTTTTGTCAAACAGAGGTGAACCGCAGCGTGTTCAGAGGTTGTGTCTCAGTAACAATATGAAAAGTTCAAAAGTACAGAGAAAACAAATGCCACTGAAGTAGCAGTAATGAAGAGAAGCACACAACAAATGGGGAAAAACAGCATTAGATATGGTGAATTATATGGATTAGAAACTACAGGGTATAGAATTAATAATAAAAAAATAGGTAAGTTAACTAACAAACCTAGCAGTGATATATATATATATATATATATAAAGTACAAACTTGCTAATACTGACATGGAAATGTTCAGTAAGTATTTCTGATTATACATGGCAGAAAAGCAGGACAATTTGTGTCTATGACAACCATGCCTCCTCCAGTTCATTAGGAACCAAATGGAAGATTTTTATCCACAGGACTATGTAAGCGAGCAGAACTATCACCCACACTGAAAAGCCAGGCGGTGGACAAGATGACTGGCCATCTCATTTTTAGGAGGTCTTAAATACAGAATCCAGGTTTAGCTAGGAAACAAGGGGAGTGTTACTGCAATGCCCACATGTAAAGACTGCAAACAAGCAGAACATCTATTTAATCACCTTATCACTTGTATGGTGTTTGCACATCATCCTGTCTAAAACTGACACAGGGTTTTATTAAAGAACAAATACGTAACTTGTCCTTGTCAGCACAGCTTTGTAGAATGTAAGCCTACGTGACCAATCTCCATTTCATTTGGAGGAGGATAAAGGTGGTCGCATTTAAATAATTGCTAGTAAAACATTGCTAAACATGAAAGTAGCTGACTGATCTAAAATGCAGTCCAACAATAGTAATTCAGAAGTTTACCAGAAACCTTTTTATATGAGAAAAAGTGTGATGAAAAGATTGAGGGTGGATCAATGTTTTGGTGTTACGTGTAACTCATAATAAGCTGGTGATTTCTGTGGCCAGCCCACTAAAATACAGTTTAATTCAATCAACTCTAAGTCCATACATTTGCAAATGCATAATTCAGGCCATGAAAAGCATTTCCATAGAAAACAATTTAGGGGTCATACTGGAAAAAACAGTTCAACGCAATACTGCAGGAAACAAGGCTAGTGCAGCACCAGGATGATGCCAAGCATAAAGCAATTCCAGCATCAATTTAGTCATCACACGTACTGCACTAGAACCTGTATTTTTAAAGTGGAAGGGAAGAAACTGCACCTGCATTTAAGAGTCAAAAACCCTATGTGAAATCTGTGGAAAGTCTCTTACAGCAAGAGAATTAGAGAGCTCATTAGAAGACAAAGGTGCTTTGATTACAGCATTTAAGAACCCTCACAGAGAGCATGTACAGAGTTTAAAGACATTGCAGCTACTTCACTTGATACTCAGAGAATTCTGTCATTTCTGCAATCAGATTACTGAGAAACTGGATTCCTTGCCTCCTCAACTCTTCAAATGAAGACAAGATGCCTTTCAAGAAGGTAGTTAGTAAAAACCAAGTTGTGTTAAACAGCACACTAGCTCATGAAGAGGTGAAAGCGAACCTTAGGTCCCATACTAGGTCAAGAAACCTTGCATGCACACGGCCTTGTCTCACCTTAAATTCCTGAAATACTTCTGGCATAAATATACAGTATGCAATCCGCAGAGAGAAACTAAGAACATTTACAGTGAAATCAACAAACAGGCAGAGTGCTTTAAAAGCCTATGAAGTTTTCAGCCTGCACAGACCTCAGAACAGAAACTTTACTTACAGTTACACTGTTAACATTCTGAAATTTTACATAGCGAAGCTGGACAATACCATCTTCTTTAATGTCATCTGGTGTCAGCTCCAGGGCTTGAGTTGGTTCACTTCTTTCTGCTTCTTCAAAATCCATAGATCGAGGAAGGTTGATAAAGATTTTTATGTACTTCGGACCTTGCCCTGTGTTAAAATATAGGAGTGGTATTCCATTGTTTAAATATATTTTCAAAATGCTGCTTGAGAAGCCCTCACTTATCACAGTCTCTAGACACCACTCAAGGATGGCAAGAGCTTCTATAGTTCTATTCTCTTATCTGCCAATCCTACATCACCCTGGATATTGAAGGACATCCAAAGTTGTACTACTCGTCCACGTGTCAGAGACAGAATTCTACAAAAAAATTCCAATAATAAAAAGTCTAAAAAGAATAGTTTTGCTGTGTCATATAACACTGGAACATTTTATGTAATTTTCTAATGTAAACTGAGTTACCATAAAAACTAAGCTATACCTTTCAGTAGCTCTCACATTAATTCTTGAATTAAATGTAAGTTTCTCTTTGCAGCATATCGAACTATAGTAAATGCTTGTATTTGTGTCATACCAAATACCCATGCATGAGGTCAGTGGAAAATGAATGAGATAATTTGTTATGGAATTAATTTACAAATGTACTGAAGCTGCTGTGGGATTCTCAGAAGGTGAAAGGTTCCAGGGACAACAGTGTCATTTTTAGAAAATTCAGCTAAACATGGGCAAAGCTTTGGTTTCAAAGATATGATTAAACAGACACTTCACTCACCGTTATCTGGCCCCTGAAGTTTCATAGAATAAAGCTTGACAGGTTGACTAAAAGCTACAGTAATAAGCAGCTGCGAAGAAAAAAAGTTGCTGTTAAACACTGTTTTCTTCATTCTTAAAAACAAACATAGCATACCAATTAATTAGAAATAAGTCTGAGCTTTGAAATAAAATTAAGTACTTACCTTCACTATATTCCACACATGCACTAGTCTGTCACTTTAAAATATCAGCAAATGCTACTCCGCTTGAAATTTTTTCCATACTTAAAAGGGATGTGAAACGGGAAATGCTAAACCTACCTTTGTATACTAATTTTTCTTACATCCTACCACTAGCTCCCCCTCTTCCTTACCCTACCATATAGTTTTGCTGTGTCATATAACACTGGAACATTTTATGTAATTTTCTAATGTAAACTGAGTTACCATAAAAACTAAGCTATACCTTTCAGTAGCTCTCACATTAATTCTTGAATTAAATGTAAGTTTCTCTTTGCAGCATATCGAACTATAGTAAATGCTTGTATTTGTGTCATACCAAATACCCATGCATGAGGTCAGTGGAAAATGAATGAGATAATTTGTTATGGAATTAATTTACAAATGTACTGAAGCTGCTGTGGGATTCTCAGAAGGTGAAAGGTTCCAGGGACAACAGTGTCATTTTTAGAAAATTCAGCTAAACATGGGCAAAGCTTTGGTTTCAAAGATATGATTAAACAGACACTTCACTCACCGTTATCTGGCCCCTGAAGTTTCATAGAATAAAGCTTGACAGGTTGACTAAAAGCTACAGTAATAAGCAGCTGCGAAGAAAAAAAGTTGCTGTTAAACACTGTTTTCTTCATTCTTAAAAACAAACATAGCATACCAATTAATTAGAAATAAGTCTGAGCTTTGAAATAAAATTAAGTACTTACCTTCACTATATTCCACACGTGCACTAGTCTGTCACTTTAAAATATCAGCAAATGCTACTCCGCTTGGAATTTTTTCCATACATAAAGGGATGTGAAACTGGAAATGCTAAAACTACCTTTGTATACTAATTTTACTTACATCCTACCACTATCTCCCACTCTTACTTACACTACCATAAGAACATAAAGTAGGCAAGTTCGTAAAAAAATGCTTGCAGACCAGACCATCATTGAAAACATCTCATTTAAAAATATCTACTGTACCTGCTCATCACAGTCTGATTCCAAGTAGGTAGAGTCTTTACGTAAACAATTATCAAATCCGTGCTCATCACTCTCATTAAGACATTCACAGCCGGCTTTATTGATAAATGGCATTAAATCCATCTGAAAGTAAAAGCAAGAGCATTGCTGAGTGCACAATAAGTGCGCCATGAACTCATCTGGGATTAGTAAGCATTGGAATGAATGAAATTCTTCACTCAACAGATTAAAATAACAAGACACACAGAAAACCTCAGGGGCTTATATCAAAAGACATTACAAAAAAAAAAACTATGAATGCTATAGTAATCAGATGTATGCTGTTCATAACTGAACAACATTTTTCCCCTCCATTCAAAATCCCGCACCCCTGGAATGCATGCTTGCCATTCTGTGAATAAGAAATTGGGCACAGGGAGAATTTTCAGATACTCTTTTGATAAACAAGACTACAGTATCATAAGTCACACCACAACACAGACAAACTGACATTAGACCTGGAGCTATGATCAACTTAAGAGAAAAAAAACCAACAGAAATGGGCCTCCCCAAAAATATACTACATATTGCAGAACAAATTAAAAGACCACCACTATAGTTCTTACCAGGCTTTATATGCAAAGCTAGTCTTACTTTACTTCTTTTTCAGCACTGTATACAAATTAACTTTATGAAACCTTTTCCTACTCCTTTCTCCATATACTTTGGTAAAAAACACAGAACAACAGAAAACAGAAGCTACGCTATTCACCATGAACCAGTTTGTTTTATTGCTCAGCTCTTTTGTAAAGGGTCCAACTAAAAGCTGTAACATATAGGCATTCTCAGATTAAAGCAGACCGCTATTCATGCTCCAAGCCATTTAAAAGGTGGTATTATTGCAGAGGCAGAATAATCCGTATCAATTTCCAGATAACCGGAGTTTTCTGCCTGCAACTAAAGTAAACCAAGTCCAAATGAAGCACAATCAGATATGAAATACTTGATTTTTAGCCTGGCTTAAGGCCTGAAGACAGAGTATCAACATCTCACACCATAACAGTATAAATTCAAGATCAGTGTACAGTCATAGAACAGTCCAGACATAAGAAACTAAAGGAACTTTTAGGGTGACAACCCAAAATACCCTTCTTAAAGGCATATATTAGGTCCCAAATAATAATATACCACTCTTGAAAAAAGCACACACTAGCTTGACAATTACTGCACACGACAACTCAGGCTATAGCTTCACAGTACAAACAGAATCCGAAAACAGGCTGCTGAGAGAATACAACTCATTTCCTGTATGCCACTTTCCTTAGCTCTTCCAACTAGTTATTCTGAGAAAAAAAAATACTTATCCCCCTCCCAACATCCAAATGAAGGCTTAGCTTGCAACTCGCATGCTCAGTAAATACAAGGTAAGAAAAGAGGAGGAACACAGAGCTGCACAAGAGAATAAAGATACTTTCCTGGAGCCAACGGCAGTTTGGGTCAAGCATATCCTAAAATAGCATTTCAGCCTACCACTTACAGGTCAAATGGAATTCCTGCTTGGCTCATACAGCCCTGAACATGCTCAGGATTTGATTCGTAGGGGTAAGACGCCACCTCCTACAAGATTAACTTTTAATAGAAGATGATGTGTTCATCTCAAAACCGATCTAACTAAGCAGACCTGAACTTCCTACTTGAATGATTTTCAGTGCATTTAAGACTCCAAAGCTAACAAGCTGAACCTTTGTCTTTTGACATTCCCATGACAAACCCAGATATATTATATCCCATTATAAATGTAAGTATCACATATAAAGTGAAGTGCAACACATGCCACGGAACAGTTAGCAAGTAGCTGAACTGTTAGAAATCCAAGTGACCCGTGCCCTTGCAGTTTATTTAAATGAGATATATCCAGCTGGATTTGTACCCTGCTTACATTTGCCTGATAGGATATGGCTAGCTATGAATTTAAAATACTTAACCTCCAAAAAACCTGGTTTTGCATTTAACAACATAATTTTGGCTTCTATAGATACTCATCGCAGCTAAGTTTAACGTATTGGATTTGCTAATGCAAACTAATATGCACACTACAGCAACTAGCTAAGCACTGAACTGTGACATACCATTTAGGCGAAATGTAATACACCATGTAACTAACTGTGTTTACACTTTTGGTAGAACAACAGACAATCTCATTTAAGGAGTAATATTACACCAAGGATTACTTGGAGAATACCACCTAAGACGACAGCTCTAGGAAAGTGTTTTGTCACATCAGAGTTCTCATTTACATGTGTTTGTTAGTACAGCTGTCAGATAGGCTTATGATTTGCAACACACAATTGCCTTCAGGTAACATGAAAACACGCAGAACACGGTGAAAATAATTTCCTGAGAGCACCAATATTTCTAAGTGGATTGCTCCTTACTGGAATTTTGGCCAAAAATTCAAGTATCCCTACAAAGTTTCCATTTACCTAGAAGACAGGGGCAAATCATGCAATGATAAAAAAACCTGTTCATGAATACCAATTTTTAAATTCTTTGAAAAAACTTTAAAATCATGTTTTAGTTATGAGATATTTTGATGCAAGGTTTAAAAACCATTCAGTTGGAGAACATATAATTTAGAAATGTTCACTTTTCTTTTTTACAAATTACTACGAAGTTACAAGTTATTTACTTAGTTTACATTATCTGTGAATGCCTGATCAGTGATCACTGGAGTGATATGCAGTACCCCTACGGAAGCAAAATGATATGCATTAAGCACTAAATTGAAAGCAAGTTCACATTCAGCAAGAAGTAATTCTTGTATGCCGCTTAGACCAGGCACACAATCTTTTCCAAGTATTCCTGTGACATTTTTTACTTTATATATTTTTATATCCTTGTCATTCTTTTACAGGCAAGAAGAAACCTAAAGAGAACACTTGGTAGTATCATCCACTTTTGCAAACATTAGCAATTAGGCAAAAGAAAATATATAATGAGATATCATTTAACTAACAATAGCGTCCCAAAGGCATCCTATTTTCAGGGCAAGCTGCTATAGAGGAAGATGGAGCTGAACTGTTAGGAAGGTTAATTCCTTTGGCAACAGAGTCTCTCCCTTTTTTTTTTTTTTTTTTTTTAAGAGATGAAAGAAAAAGGATTAAAGAAAGGGTAGGGAGCAAGAAGAAAAAAGGAAACCCCCGAATGAACCTACCACCACATAAACAACAGAGAGGATTTCTTAAGGAACAACGAGAGCAACTTTTCAACATTTTTGACAACCATGTCTAACAACGTCTTTTCCCATGGACATTTTTACACTTTAAAAAACGTTTTGGGAAGACAGATCGGGATGCCTGAGAAGAAGAAAGCAGAACAAGCAGCTGCAGCAAGAAGTTCATCATAAAACATTAAATTCATTATTTTAATGACTAAGGGATATGCATGGAGATTTTTCTTAAAACATTTTACAATTCTATAACCATACTTACTAAATATGTACATGTTAATTTTTTAATTTTGTCTGAAAAAGGAAACCCAGACAAGCGATCTTCTCAGAGCCATGGGGAACTTGCAATTTTGCCTGAAGTATTATTATTTGACTTAGAGTATGTTTAGAAAGCAATAGGTATTTTTTTTTTAAACATTCAAGTTACACAAACATTAAAAAAATTATCTGAAGAGATGCATACATATCCTTTTGGGATATCTGTATCTTCACTGTTTCCAGGATCATTCTCCAGGTGCTGTTTAATTTTTTCTTCTAAACCTACAGCATCTGCTCCTTGATACTGGTCGATTCGCACTTTGTTTCGGAAAAACAGAAATGTCGGTGTTGCTGATATATTATTGGTAGCAGCTGTTCCCTAGAATGCATAAATTAGTTACAAGTATTACCTAAGAGTATTACCAATATTAGACAGAAACATTAGCTTGCTTCACCTAGATAAGAATGCACACACTAGATGCAGAAGCTACATCACCTCAAACATCACAAACAATATTTGTTATTTTATAAACAGCTTTAACTTGGACAACAATTTTAAGTTATTTTAAATTCTTCAGATCCTCCTAATCCTTTACATATTTGGGCATTCTTTGAATGGATTTCCCATTGTCAGTAGATTTGCTGGTACACCATAAAAATCATATTACTCATTTGCTCTCCAAAGTGGAGGACAGCTTAATTTAACACTTCTATTTTACAAGCTTTCTTTACACCTGCATTCCTCCCTCTCTCAAGCCACATTCATGCACACCCAGGAATTGCAGCCTGCTGCTGCAGAAGGTAAATTCCATTTGATTTCTACCTGTATTCATACCTGTTACGCACCCATAGTAGTTTTTCCAAAACTTCCCATAATTTAGTGTCATTTGCAAACATTGTTTCCACTTTGATGTTCATCTCTCTCCACTATAATTTGTAGTAATTCAAGACACTGCCTTTCAACATACCATTGTTAATTTTTGTTAATGACCCTTCAGTCAATCAATAGCTCACCTGCAACACTGTTGTCTGTTAAAAACAGTTGAGTAGTACTTGAGAGGAATCTAGTCCCACTAATCATATCAGTTTATTGTATTTTTCGTTTTGCTCAATAATTACACCAGTATTTGTTTGGAAAGACTTACTCTTTTTAATTCATACTGGTGCTATCTTCTACATTCAACAGTATTATCTAAGTAGTACAAGCAGCAGGAACTGTCAAACTGTCTGTGCACTGCTTAAATGAAGGACCAGTTACCACAGTAGTAACTGCAAGAATACTTTTCTAAACAAAAATGTTGTTTGTTCACATCTTTGTGCATATCCTAATTTTGGAGAATTTTACAACATGGTTATTTGTGATTCACCAACCGTGTCAACAGCCGCAGGATACTACTCTTAGTATACTGTCTGAACAGTTTTTCTTCAAGTTTCCCATTCACTACATTATCTGCTCTTTCGCTTACAACTGAAAATACGTTTTTGAATACCAACCTGGCATTGATGCACATCTACCTCCAAAAAAGTTGCCTGGGGATATTTGTTACTCAGAGCATTGAAAGCTGGGGCTATCCTTAAACAAGGGCCACATCTGTGAAAACAACATACAGTTTAACTTAAGTCAATCTTTTTTTGAAAAACGTCTGCCCCAAATAGAATTAGCACATTCATGTTCTTACTGATATCCTTGGTACATGTAAAAATAACCTTCCTACCTGGCTGACAGATGGTGAGCAATCCTGGTGATACAATTAAGAATGACATTTAGAAAAACATCATGAAGTGTTAATTCCCACTTCCTCAGACAGCATCAATGTCACATGGTTAGCTTCACCTATTAATTAATACCAACTTCCTATTTTCCATCTAATGGGTTTAGCTCCAGCATCTATTACCGCAAGCCAAAGTCCTGCTAACTAAAGTGACATAAGGGAGGGCAAAGAGTTGCCTGCTTCTCCTGAAACAGCAAAAAACACTCTTAACAGAAAACTAGTACTAGCACTCCACATTACCTCCTATGAAAAAAATAGTATTTACAGTAAAATCTACATATGACTTGAAATATTTGACAGTAATAATGTATCAAACCTTTAGCAGGAATCATAAAATTCTTACTACAATAAATCTCACTTACTACAACTGTAACCAGTTGCTACCATATTTATTTGGCCCTGGTAGAACAGACCTGACTTCTGCTGACTTAACTGTATCACCTTGGCTGATAATATGTATTTGTTAATTATTATACTTTTGCTGGCATATATGAAGTGTACAGATGCAACTATTCCTGCAAAGGAATACTCTCACAACTCAGCTTGCTGTGAAAGAAGCAATTAAAAAGCAAAACAGAAAAAAAACCCAAAACAAAACAGTAGAAACTCCCTCCAACAGCATATCAACACAGGCCGTTATCTAAAGCAGAGAGCTCTGTCAATGTGAATCTGCCAACACATATAGCTGCAAAACAGCACAGACAAGATCTGCTTCACCTTTCCTATTCTCTCCTGACAGAGGGTATGGATCCACCGCAGCATAGCAAGGCAAACTCACAGATATTTATACGTTAAGACATCGAGCCATTAATCTAACTGGAACCTAATATATCAGGTTGTCTGTAACCAAAATACTTTCCTGGGCACACATGTACGCAGTATTACTGAGATCACCAACACCTCTACAGTTATGGGTGAAGTTGACATAGCTTAAAAAAAGCAGCCATTAATCTAACTGGAACCTAATATATCAGGTTGTCTGTAACCAAAATACTTTCCTGGGCACACATGTACGCAGTATTACTGAGATCACCAACACCTCTACAGTTATGGGTGAAGTTGACATAGCTTAAAAAAAAAGCGCCCCAATCCCATAACTAAGCAGCAATCAGACATCAGATGCGTGTCTATGAATGCTTTTTTCAGTACCCATTCAGACACACAGCTCGTGATTCTTGCGGCCTCTTCCAAGTATAAACATCTTTCACAACATTAGACCTGAAGTCTTTTGAGCTCCAAACAGCCATTGGAAGTGGAATGGTTCAACTGTACATTTAAATAAGGGGTGGAAAGATGAAGAAAAAGAGTACGGGCATTAAAAGCTAGGACTTTGACAACAATGAGGAGCACTTTGAAGCCCAGGACCTCCAACGCTATCGCTATTCTCCCTAATTCCGCAGATTACTGTGAATAATTGAATTGCTGAGATTTCCTTTGGCCGCCAACTGAGCCAGATTACACTACATTTGTATTTCAAACCCCCATTGAGTAGGGGAAAAAAGGACATCTGCTTGCCCTGGGCAAAAAGGATGGGGATCCAGCTAAGTTTTATTAAGGCAGAAGATGTTTTTAACAGAAACCAAGAACGATGCAGTTCTCTCCACCCTCTCTCAACAGTGGCTTCCTGACCTGCAACTGGATTTTAAGCCAGCGTAGCGTCTGATCTCCTCAGAGCACCTGAAGAATGGCAGGTTCAGAGGGCAGGGGAAGTTGGCTCAGCTGCAAAAAGGTGAATTTAACACCAGAAATCGAAGCACCATTCTGATTCTATGACTATGCTTATATACTACAGACAGAGAGTGTCACTAACGTTAAAGAAACAATTAGTTCGCGGCTCTTACCCGCAGCAGCTGGTTAGCGACCAAAATGATACAGCATTTTGCCAGCTAACTGCACTTCTCAAGTTTAAAACCTTGCCTCGCATCAAAATAAATAAAAATACCAAAACCCCTCTAGGCCCCCAGCGGGTCCCTCGCTCCCGGGGAGCCTCCTCAGCCCCAGACCAGGGCGGGAGCGGCAAGGGCGGCTGACGGGGCGGCGAGGAGACGCCTCCCGGTGGGTCAGGCCCCGCTCCCGCTCTCCGCCGCCTCAGAGGGAACGAGGCCGCGGCGGGGGGCCTGGGGGCAGG